CCCATGGCCGCCCGTCTGTTTAGGCCCTAAGTAAGTAGCCTAAATCCCCTGAAGACACCAGATTCTATCTAACTTCAGAACCAGGCCTAGGGATGTAATTCTTTGCTAATTTCACTCTCAAATGAAACAATTACTTTGAGCAATTTTCTTTCTGCTGCAAGTATATATTTGAATATATTTTCACAGTTTAGTACTTATGGCGTGCAAAATTTATATGTGGTATTTTTGCACTGAAAACAGCATTTTGTGCACAGGAAACATGAAATGTCTGTGTTAATTCTGTCCAGAAAATGTTGCAGTTGCTGTAGACTCATGCTGCACAGAATTCATACATTGTCCAGGAAACAGGACTTTATGTACAGAATAGAACACTACTGTGCAAAAAAAATCTGCATCATGCACAGAGCATGCTGTTTCCTGTCCAAAAGACTTTGGGCAAATTTTGCACATAGTAAGTCCCAACCTGTAAAAGATTCCCATTAGTTCAGGTTTCTCTTTGTTTGAATTTCCTGGCATTTGACAAAAACACATCTTCCAAATCTTCTTCAAATAAGCTTTCCAACCTATTTGGTTACCACCTGGAAGGGAAATTGCCAAGGAGCACCAAGTGCTATAGATTATATTCAGAGGAAGGCAATGGCAAACCACCTCTGAGTACTCATTGCCCAAGAAAACCCTAAGAAATTCATGAGTTCACCATCAAAACAGACAACTTGAAGGCATATATAAAGTTATGACCCAGTGAATACATGAATAGGGAAACAGAATATTGTTATTCCATGGCAGAAGATGCTGGGCTTGGGTAGGCAGAAGAAACTTCCTTAGCCATTGTTTCTTGAAACCTCTTGTCCTATATAGGTTGAATTTAAGTAGATCTTCCATAATCATAGTCAAAGATTTCCTGTACCTTAGATCAAACATTGGTCAGAAAGGAGACAGCAGTCAAGAAATAAGAAGTATTGGAATGGGAAAGGCAACTATTGAAGAACTAGACAAGATCCTAAAAAGCAAAGATATACAACAGAGCACTAAAGTTAGAATTGTCCAAGCTATTGTATTCCTAAGGATATGAGAGGTGAACAGTGAAGAAAGATGACAGAAAGAAAAGCAACTCTTTTGAGATGTGATGATGGAGAAGGGTGCTGAGAATACTGTGGATAGCCAAAAACACAAACAAATGGGTCCTTGAACAGATCAAGACTAAACTCTCCCTAGAAGCCAAGATGATTAAATTGAGGCAGCTGTACTTTAGCCACATCATGAGAAGGCATGGCTCTTTGGAAAAGACAATAATGCTAGAAAAGGTAGAAGGCAGTAGAAAGAAAAGAAGACCACATACCAGATGGCTAGACATGGGATGCAGATGGCGCAAAGCACCATCTTGGGGGCAGGGAAGTGTAAGGGCAGCCACACGGCAGTCGCCTGAACCCCTTCCCGAGGACGTCATCAGAGTGCACTCCGTTACACATGACGAGTGCCCTGATGATGTCCTCCCGGCACAGCCTCTGCACTTGCTGTGCTGGAAGAGATGTGGAAGAGCTGCATGACGGTTCTTCCGGTGCCTTTTTTGATGGTTCTGGAAGGAGCGGCATTTTGGCACTCCTTCCAGGCTGCCCAAAAGGTGGATTGGGGCCAAGACGTGGGGCAGCTTCGGCCCCAATCCTCCACTTTTCAGGGCAGCCCATGGCAGAGCCCCTCAATTAGGGAGGCATGAGGCCTCAGCCTGCAGGACCTGAGCAGAGCAGTGAAGGATGGGGGGCTTGGAGATGTGTCATCCGCAGGTTCGCCATGAGTCGAGGCTGACCCAAGGTCAGTTAACAACACAACACTTGTACTGACACCCTTGCATTGGTGATGCTTGTTGTTTGCCTGAGTATTTTGTTTCATCGGTAATTACAGTCACAGTGGCAACTGTAGAACCTGCATCAGTGTAGTCTATGGTGGATTGGTGCAAGCAGGAAAGCTGCTCACCCCAATTTAAATTATGTTGAAGCAGCACAAGAAGAACCTATTGGAAAGTGCCTCCCATGTACAAGTTTGGTGTACAGTTCAGCTGTCATAAGGGAATTCATTCAGAAGCACTCCAATTTAAGGAAATGAATGCTCAGTGAAGAAAAAAAAGCCCTCTGAGTCTTAGGGCTCATTCCCACTTACATTTAAACTAGTTTGCGATTCGCTTTTGCTCCGGGTCAGTGAATCGATCGTAGTCGATGTGTCGTTTCCACTATGGAAGTGGCTCTTTTCTTTATTTGCTTCTTTTTTGGCATGATTGTTATTCCCACTAGTTTGCATCATGAGCGACACAAGCAACACATTCAAGAAAACATGGAAGGGAGTCATGGGTGCCATGGCCAGAATTCTCCCCTGGGATGCATGCATCCATGGATGCCATGGAGGACTCTCCCCCAGGATGCATGCATCCATGGGTGTCATGGAG